TCTTGATGGACCTGAAAACGAAGTTGGTTTAGTGATTGTCTTAACGACCACCACATCAAGGTAGCAACTAATGTCGATAATCGATACTCTACTTGATATCGTTGAGGTACTGATATTCCAATTTAGCATACACTGTTTTCCAAGGTTCAAAATACTGTCCCTATCAGTGAATGTTCATCGTGATTTCCTATCTTTGGAGTCCTTCACATCCAAAGTAAAGATGTCGGGTGTGTTTCCGTATTGGGTATTTTAATCGAAAATCCAACCTAGACCTAGGCATGAGACTTTGATAATGCGCTATAAAGATTTTTCATCGTTCTTTCACTTCAGAAGCCTTGGATAAAAGCTTGAGTAATCCCAAAGTATTTTGTACTGCAGTCATCTGAAGTTATGCTTCCTATATACACAAGTTTTAAGAATAGTTGTGTTCTGAAACCGCTTTTCAAAAATGTCTCCAGTCACTAAAGTTTTCCTAATGTTTAGAATCTAATGAAATCACAAAACGTTTTGTGAAAAAATGAGGTGAAGTTCTGGGTTATTAATCCACGAGGACCTTCAACCAATACTATAGCGAGAACATGGAGAAAGATAGTCTGAATACCTAAGAAAGTATCTGGCAACAAGAATATGAAATCGAGAACCATTGCAATAACTGCACCTTTCCTCAAAGCACTAGAAAAATTGCTGCCATTCCCAAATCATTCTGCACTGAAAGTGCAGAGCGATCCGTATCAGCCCGCTTACAAATTCCAAAGAAGCACCTTAGGTGCTGCTGCTGTTCTGCTTCGTCACATAGTGTTCAGCTCAGAGAACTTCATTTTTGCCTTCGACTCCGTCCCAAGACAATTTTTAATTAACAAGTTAGTCAGCATCAACAGTGACATCTGTATAACCAACTGATTGTGCTTCTACCTCTCTGAAAGAGAACAGTACAATGTGTTTTAGGGAAGGTATTCAACATCTATGTCTTATGGTGTGCCGTAAGGAGCTGTTCTTTTATCTTCTTTTCTGCTTGTCACAATGAACCTGTCTAAATGCCAAACTGCCAACTTAAACTTGAGACGTGAACTACACTTAAATTTCTGTTGAAATGTCACGATGCTTATTAATGCAGTGTCGGAGGTCAATGATCTTGATGTAATCTTTTCCTCTGATCGCTCTTGGTCTTCTCACAATTTTTTGTTATCGAAGGAATTTTCCGTCTGACTTACTAGATAAATAGGCCGCACGGTTTTAGAGTTATTTGACATGTACTCTGACACTTTGTAAATTCTTGCATATTATCTATTATTCTGTACTGTATCCCATTATTCTTCTCCGAGCGTTTGAAAAGGCACATTGCTGTATTTCTGAGAATACTGAAGGCAGTTATTAGAGTATGCTGTGAATCTATACCAATACATTAGAATCCATACATGCATGCAAAAGTATAAAAGCTCTAAAACACCTTATCTAAAGAATATACTGCACGACGAACAGGTTGTTAGAGTTAACTCAGTCAATAAACTATAATCCTCAACATGTTTCTAACTGAAAAGTTTTAAAAGTTCAAATCTTCGATAGACATTTCACTTAATTATGGGTAGTTTATCTACTTAACTTTTGAATATACGTATGCAGTTATCAGTTTCTTTCACTTGCTGTCTTTATTCTCCAAAGAACACTTTTGGAAATATTTTGTACTGACCACTCTATACTATGACAAAAACGTAATATTCAGTGAAGCCAGTGATAATAATGAGTAGCTATGATAAACTTTCGGGAATGCCTTCTCCATAGTAAGCTGGCTGTATGTTTTATCAAGCTAGTGCTTGATACTTTTTTAAGCACCACTTAAATAAAGGGTAATAAAGGATAACAGTTAACTGCGACCTTGGCAGTAAATCATCAGTAGTTATCAGCTGGCCATCAGTTACTGGATGTCGTTTGAAAGACCTGTTATGGACGTGCCACCGCTGTTTTGTTCGTGTACCCACTGCTGTGTCAATGATCTTACTTCCTATGTTTGGAGAACGGAAATTACTGTGACTTTCATGACAAAAAGTAAAATGCGAAAAACTGGCTCAAAGTGAACTCATTCACTTATCAAAAGCACTTCCTCGAAACAAGTTTTCTCAAAACTTCCTTGTCAACAAAATACATTCATTTATCTACTGGTTTTACACACACCTGATGGTAACCTAGTAAGCATTATATGAATGAAAAGATACACGGTACTGTGAAACATACGAATATCATACAAAATCTGTAGAATTATGGTTTATGTCCGTATGGATACTACTATAATAATAGACTTAATCCTAAAAGTACAGATTTGTCATGATGTGACTGTTTAATCGATAAGATCTTACGCGGAAGTCATATCACTGTCTATCCTGACTCTTCGTATCGCATCCACCATCAAAATAATGTTGAGCGTTTCTAAAAGCAAATGTAGCAGCAGCCCCTGCATCAATAGGCCTCCACATTCACAAAGGAAAAAGCAAGATTCTCAAATGCAACACGGAGAACACCAACCCAATCACACTTGACGGCGAAACCCTGGAAGAGGTGGAAACATTCAAGTACCTGGGGAGCATTGTTGATAAACAAGGAGGATCGGATGCATATGTAAAGGCGAGAATTGGCAAAGCAAGCAGCATTTTTACAATTGAAGAACTTATGGAACTCAAAACAACTCTCAACCAATTTCAAGGTCAGAATCTTTAATACGAACGTCAAGACAGTCCTATTGTATGGAGCTGAATCGTGGAGATTTACTACGACCATCATCAGGAAGGTACAAGTATTTATAAATAGTTGTCTACGCAAAATACTCAACATCCATTGGCCGGATACTATCAGCAACAGCGTTTTATGGGAGAGGACAAACCAGCTTCCAGCTGAAGAGGAAATGAGGAAAAGACGTTGGAAGTCGATCGGGCATACATTAAGGAAATCACCAATGTGCATTACGACTCAATCCCTAACTTGGAATCCGGAAGGGATACGAAAAGAGGAAGGCCTAAGAACACACTACGCCGGGAAATAGAAGCAGATATGAAAAGGATGAATGTTAACTGGAAAGAACTGGAAAGGAAGGCTCAGGACAGAGTTGGATGGAGAATGCTGGTGAACGGTCTATGCTCCTCGACGAGGGGTAACAGGCGTAAGTAAGGAAGTAAGTAAGTAAGTTTCTAAAAGACACTTTTAGGCTGGATATAGAACTATGTTTTGTGTGAATAGAAGTGTTATGTTACACAAGAATGACTACAACTGCAAAGCCGAGCCATGCCATCTTATTGAATGAATGAATGTTCCCACGTTCACCTTTGTCGACCTTCTCTTAGCGTTATATGTCGTTAGTGGATCTCAGCAGTATTTATATGTCCAGCTTAGAAGATTGTGTGGTTAGGAACGAATACCATTACAAATTTACGAACAATATAGTTGTCACACTGAAAATCTTTTACACATGTTTTATTGATGAAATTTCATTAAATATGCTGATCTGAAATAGTGTCACATAGAGAAATACAAACTCTATGTATTGGTGAATAAAATGTTATACTGAAACACATACACGATTGTTTATTCTTGTTCTGCGTTCACAAACACTAACTAATTATATATTTCGCGCTTCCTTTATCTCTGTTCTCTTGTTTTTTCCCTTTCCTCCTTTAAATTCAATTCAATAACCTTACAGAACAACGTTCACAAGTCATCAGGCTATCCACTTACGAAAAAATTAAAAGTTCCCTGGTGTTGCGTTGGCTTGCCGTGATATATGCCATATATAAACTACTTATCAATTACTAAACCAGCAAACATAAAACTTTCTTATATTTCATGTTTGTTCTCTACATTAAATGTTGCTTTTCGTGCCTGTAAACTGGTGTGAATTCTGTAAATATTATTTTCAGAATATATATTATTATTATATTCCTTTCAATTAGATAGAACTTGTTTTTTTCAACTGTGACAAATATTATGCCAGAATTATTGAAACTTGTATATTATTGCATTTCTGGAGCAACCCGAAATATTTTCTGTGGTAATAAGGAGTAGTTATGTTGTTGTACGAACTGAGAATCCCAGAACTAACTCAACTTAACCAGGAAGTACTAGATAAGCATGAACGAACGTGTTGTATTTCGAATTAATAATCACCTTTTTCTGACATGGGGAAGATTACCCATCAGCTCCCTATGGTTTTGACGTTACTTCATTCTGATTATCAGAAAAGTTGGAGAAATTATGCGAATTTCTGGCTTATTATAGACGAGATACGGCAGTCAGTAAAGCTGAGCTTATATAAGAGCACCTCAGCCATGATGTCTTGATGGCTGTAAAGGTTTGAGGAAAAATATTTTTGAAAGAAGACAATAATCGATGAATAAGTTGATTCTAAGGTGATTAAGGTGTCACGGATATTCAGGGCCTGACAACACTTCTGCCCAAAACATTTTCATAGTTGAAGGATTCCAAATTCAGACAAATTAGAAGTCAGGAATAAAGGAGTTCGGAAACATATTTGGAACGTTGTCAGGATGTCGAGAAGTGAATGATCTACGCATACTAATGGTTGCTAGGACTATGTAGCACAGCACTTTGGATGGTGATCTGATGTGGATGTATGACCAAGCACCTTTAGGTAGGGTGTGCCCAGTAAAGCTAATGAGGTCAGCGTCGATATCGTAGGCTTACGGAACTATTCGTTTTGGGGGATGTAATTACCGCTACACTGACTAAGTAAAAATGTGCCACCTGAACCGTGCCAGGATATGACAACGGTTTCCAACCTATCCCCTTCAGTTAGCATCATCCACTGGAACTAAGACGATTGACTTCAGTGGTGAATGTTGATAACACTAATTATTTGGATCTACAATTAGTGCTATAGTGTTCTTTTAAAATAATCATGATCAAGTAAACTAAATAAAAACAAAATAAATTGGTTAAAAAATTCAGTTTACCTATTTACATATTTTTAAAAATCAAAAGAGTTGTATTTTATATTAGTTTAGACAAAAAGTCACCTAGACAACCGTACGGCATTTTTATGAAGTTGAGCATGGCTTACAGACTCAAAATATCGTGCTTGGATTTCTAGTTGCTATTGCTGATTCGTCCTAATCTCACTATTGTGTTATTGCTGATTTCTTCAAGCTGTTTTCATCGATTAATCTCATTTCTTTTAGCGCGCTTAATGAACAGTCGACCCATCCTGTTTTTCTCTTTCTGACGAATTCGTCAGCTTTCTTGACTCAGTAAACTCTGTACTCTCCCACAACACTCAATATAGCTTCAAGATTAATGCAAACCGCTACAGCATGTTAGTCACATGTCGGTTTGTAGTGTGAACGGTGGAAATTCTTTAAAACGAAGCAATGATATTGTTGACAGTTATTATGAAGACCCAGCACCTTATATATACCGTCGGAACATTAAAAAGCCCTTGAATCACAGTTTTCTGACGTTTGGAAATTCATCATCTCTTTCAATTTACTCCAGCAGCGGCAACAATGGGATTATCGTTAATAAAAACATCTTGTTACGAAAAAGCTCTTCACAGCGCTCGAAGCTCTGTATAATTTTATAATATGCATAAATTACTTGAAAAAATGAGTATACGTGGCTCCTGGTGAGTTGGGTTGCAGAATAGCTTTCCACGTATTATTTCCTTTCATTCTTTGTGACCAGTATTTGGTATTTAGTAACAAAGAATTGAAGCGTTCATTTGAGTTTCCTGCATTTTATTGTCTTAATTGTCGCGAATAGCTTGGTCAGTAATGATAAAATGGATCATAGCAGTCGGTAGACACGAATAATATGAGGTGATCATGGGACCCACTGATATTTGTCAATAAGCGAAGGGTCGCAACGATACGTTTTATCTGTTGTTACTTTTTATTTTTTCCGCCGTTTTAACAGTTACATCACCCTGTTTTACGTGTTGCGTGGATAGATTTCACACTTGAAACAAAATCACTCTCTGCCTTCTCACTTTTGTTTTACGTTCAAAATCTGGGTTATTCCTCTCATTTTCAGTGGGTTCAAATTGATGTCAATTTTATTTATTAAGATTTTTTATTGAGAAAGTCACACACTCAGCTGTTCAGCGACATAGTTTCGACATTCCTAATGAATAGCACCTTTCCTAGCATCTGTCTAATTACCTGAAATTATCTTATTTTTTCTTAACACTGTATACAGTTTGGTATATTATTACGTGACTGGCAATAACTACCCAACCAAGACTCATCAGTCTATATTGGTCTTGAAAAGAACCCTCAGTAAGCCTGGGAGATACCTCAGTTATGTTGTCTTCATCATCACTAAATTCAGTCCCGCCTTAACCAAAACGTTTTGTATTAACGGTTCGATTATTATTAACATAGTATTCCGTTCAGACTAATTTGAGTTTCCTCTCACCCTTCTGTACCCAAGTTATGTTACTTGATTACAAGTAAAATTCCCCACAATCAACTGACTAAATCTGTTGTGACAAAAATAATACCAAGTTCTTTTAGTATGAGCAGGATGAAAATGTAAGTTATTATCGTATCAGATCTCTCAAACATGATTATTACTTATCGATTAGTCATTCAGTCGCAACGTATGACCTGGCACATGTTCATCGGTTCAAGTTGCCATATTCAATAAACACGGAGGGATGAATTTGTCAGCCTAAATACCAGAATAATAGAAGTGAATAGAAGAAATCAGGCATCAAAGATACGATTCAAGAATATACAAATTAGTAAAATAAGAAAATTATGAGGAATTTAGAAGCTCAGCATTTGGAAGAAGACAGAAAATATATGAACCTGTGCCATTACAAATAATTTTGACCCATGTTGTCCGAAATCTCTAACACATGGACCCCAACCAGGTGTTCTACATCTGTTAACATGTCTCGCTCCAATTGTCAGTGACCTCATAAACTGATGCCATGTCATGGTTTGCTTCCCCTAGCTTTTTTCAAATTTTCCTCTACAACAAGCAACATTGTCGAAGTAGGTGGTGGTTGGACATACGTAGCACATCTCCCAAACACCTCAGTTGATTATGACTACCTCATCAATCGACTTTCCATCGCCACTTAGTACTTTCTCCCTAAACGGGCAATGGTTCAAAGACGCTTATGGTCGAATACTAGTAACTTATAAAAACCTTCCATTCTTATTGACCATATTTCATATCCATAAAGTAGAACAAAGAAAACTACCACGTATCAAACACTTTCTCTTGTTGTCAGGCGAATATTCCGTCTACGCCTCAAGTAACACAAATTAGCTGAGGCCAATTAAATTTTCTGAATCGGAGCCGAAATTTCGTCACACATTAGCCCATGAGGGCTAATGAGACTCTCGAGATAAGTGAAGCGGTCGATATGCTTAACTTCACTCGAAGAGACAACCAGTTCTAATTGGTTATGCTTAAAAGTATGGGACTATAAAACCCATATTCTCTTAAATCATAAATTATCTAGTAATTTTAACTGTTATAATTAACTAGGGAGCTGTTTTGCAATCCCATAACTCAACTCTATCTTACAATAGTCTGTCAATACATGAGGAAACTAAGTGTCTGTTATCGTTTTTGAAACCAAACTTTTCAGAATAAAATTTGTAAAATAACCACTAAAGACCATCCATTTAGCCAAAATAAACTTCCGTAATTACTGATTGAGAAACATCACCAACCTTCACACAAAATGTATTGTTCATAGTCAATTATATGATTTTGTACTTAATCATTGATTTACGTTAGTCAGTTCAATTTCCATCAATGTACCGGAACGGAAAGTTTTAAAACATAAACTATCAGTACCACTGGCGTCATCCAAACCAGGGTTTGCACCAAAGATCAGCGTGCTCCCTTTTCATTTAAGCTCAGATAATTGTAAAACATTCTTCAATATTACTCCCATACACAAAAATGTCCTTAGGTTTTATTTATAGGTACTGATTTACCTTATTCTCTATGAAAGTGAGAAAAAAATATATGAACTCAAGATAGTAATCAAGAAATGTGTATGTTATTTTTGTTAACACTACATAATTAATTTTCTGGTGAATATATCTATCGTAGGTGCAAGGTGTCTTGCATCTTAGAGGGAAAGTCACCGCTTGCACGTGTTGGTCATTCAACTCACGCTATACGAGTGAAATGTGGGGACACTGGCAACCGACCATTGATTATAATGATCGGGGGTGCAGATGCTTCAGGAGTATTTGATGAAGCCTACATTCTGGATATAACATCATTTAAGTGGTACACTGTTGATTTGGAACAGACAATTGATTTTCCAGGTCTGGGAAGGTATGAACATAGCAGTGCAATTTTAAACAATCAGGTGAGTTGAAAAACCGGAGTTGTTCATGAATCTTTCATATTTACTCACAAATCACTTTGGTTATAAAGTAAGTGGCATGTTTTCATAACAACCATTTTGTTTGACGTTAGATTAATAATTCAAGTTACTTTATTTTGATAGCTTGCTGAAATGCTGTACACAAACCCAAACAAGTGCATTTGGTTGCAAAGAATAGGTGTATTACTAATCAACTATTCAAATAGTAACATTCCATAGTGCCAGTCGGTCCTAACATTTCATGTTCTCATGACCTAAGGTCATAGACAAAAACAACTACGCAGACTAAAACCTATAAATCAAATAGTTCTAGTAATGATATTTGTCATTAGCACAAAAAGTCAAAGTTAAAAAATAATACAGAGAAATGTGTAGGTATAAAGTTGACAATGAATGCATTGGTTTTGTGCCGTTTTGCTTAGAGCCACCACCCCTTCTTCAATAACTAGTGGTTTCTTCGACTAATCTAGTCATCAACTTGACAACATCCTACGTCAATGTAAGTAGTATCTTTACTGAGTCACTGCAAACCATTCACAATGATTCTATGATATGCTTAAGTAAATAACTTAAAAGTCACCATTTATCGTCCTGACAGATAGACTTATTTACAATTTCATAGACGCTGTGACTCAGTACCCTTTATTTGCTCACTGACTAATCATATCGTTGTGTTTGGAACATGAATGATAATCGGTTTTCATGACCCAGTCGATATAGATATTTCATTTAATGCAGTTCAGTAACTGAGAATATGTTCGGCCACTATAGGTCATCGTTGAACAATCAATTGTTTGGAACTCGTCACTGTACATCAACTTCTTTGACTATGAGGCGTCTAGCAGTGTGGATAGGAGAACCTACGGTGTACCTGAGAAGATCATCAACATCAAAAGAAATTCGTACGACGGACTACAGTGCAGAGCCGTGCATGAAGGATAGCTGACAGATGCATTCCAAGTGAGGGTTGGAGTCAGACATGTCTGTTTACTCTCCCCCCTCTTTCTTCTAGTGGTTAGCTGGGTTATGAAGACCTCTACATCTGAGAAGAAACACGAATCACAATGGACAGTACGGATTCAACTAGACGATTTGGACTTCTCAGATAAAATGGCCCTTCTATCCCATACATACCAACAAATGCAAATCAAGAAAACTAGTGTTGCAGCAGTCACTGCATCAGTAGGCTTCAACATACAGAAGGGGAGAAACAAGATCTTTAAGTACAACACGGGGAATAACAACTCAGTCACTCTTGATGGAGAGACTGTGGAAGCGTTCACGTACCTGGTCAGCATCACCGATGAACAAGGCGGATCTGACGTAAACGTAAAGACGAGGATTGGCAAAGCAAGGGCAGCATTCCTACAGTTGAAGAACATGTAGAACTCAAAATGACTGTCTACAAGCCAATATCAAATTCAGAATCCTCAATATGAACGTCAAGACTTCTACTGTACTGAGCTGAAACTTGGAGAAATACCACAACTATCATCAAAAAGTACAAGTATTTATCAACAATTGTCTACACAAGATACTCAATTTTCATTGGTCGGATACCATCAGCAGTAGCCTACTGTGGAAGAGAACAAACCAACTTCCTTCTAAAGAGGAAATTAGGAGACGCTGGAAGTGAATAGGACATATGTTGTGGAAATTACCGAACTGCATCATGAGGGAAGCACTAACTTGGAATCCTAAAGGGAAGTGGAAAAGAAGAAGACCAAAGAATACACTTTATCGGGAATTATAAACAGACATGGAAAGGATGAATCGCAACTGGAAAGATAGAGTCGGATGGAGAATACTAGTGGACGGTCTACGCTCCTTCACGAGAGGTATCAGGCTTATGTAAGTAAAAGTAACTTGGTTTCAAGTCACACATTTCGTGTGATGGCTAGTATTATTACCCGATTACTCAAACCTTATTCGATAAGACCGGGTTGAAATCTGATGTTCAGTGATTAAAAGTAGTACATGTTAACCACTGGGCTACCATTTTATAATGCACATGTTATTTACTTCACACTACGATTCTTAATAAATCAAACACTAAAGTAATACTGTTATTTCATGAAGGTTTTTGACTGGATTCAGAAGTCACATAAACAGAATAATTATAAAAATACTTGAGTCATCTAAAGGAGTCGAATAGTTGATGTGAAATTACTAGGTTGATGAAACGTGTCTGCCTAATTCAAATGAATGTTTAACAACCACGATTTTCAGTCGGTTTTAATGAAAATAGAGCATGGAGAATTGAAGCTGAAATTATGAATGGTAAGGAAGTTGAGATATTGTAGTAACAACTATAATCAGAAAAAAGGTTCGAGATAAAAGAAAGTCGAAGTATGTGTCAAGGGATTGTGGAGCTGAAGATCTAAAGGAAGATAAAAAGTGATTTCGTCAGCACCATTGTTACTGATTTTGAGATATACTACCCAAAGCCTCTACCCACTGATTAAAGTTAAATATTTGTCTAAGTTATCGATTTTGTCTCCCGATTCAGTCAGTCACAACGTAGAACTTCGTACGTACGTACATCAGTTCGAGTTGCCATACCAAATTAGCACCGAGATGAAGTTGTCGATTCAAATCCCATATTGGTAGAAGTAGTATGAGTATAAGCATCATGTGAAAGATTAGGGTTTGAAGATGTTATTGAAGGAGTATAATCCAGTGAAATAAATTTAAAAAGAGAGAAAGGATAGAGATATGAAGATCCCAGAAGATTATAATTTGACAGAACACGGAGAGTGGATGCACCTCCGCCATTGCAAACGATTTTGAGCCATATCATTCAAGGTCTCTAGCCATCGGTTGCTATCATCTCGCGAATCCCAACCAGGTAGTCTACACCTACCAACATGACACAGTCCAATTGTTAGTGACTTCATGGATTTTTGCCACGTTTTGGTCTGGTCGCCCCTAGCATTCTTCCAACCTAATCGTACACCATGGAGCATTGCATGTCGGGGCAGTCGGTGGTTGGGCATACGTAACACGTGTTCCAGCCATCTCAACTGATGAAGTTTCACTACATCATCAATGAATTTGCCATCATTACCTAGTACCCGTTCCCTAACAACTGCATTACTTACTCGATGGTCCCAGGATATACGAGCAATGCTTCGAAGACATCTATGATCGAATACTAGTAGCCTACGAGTGTTCTCTACTCTTATCGGCCATGTTTTACTGCCATAAAGTAGGACAAAACGAACTGCTGCACAGTAAACCCGTCCTTTTGTTGCTAGACGAATATCTCGCCTACACCATAAATGGCGCAAGTTAGCGAAAGCTAGACGAGCCTTCTGTATCCGTGCTGAGATTTCGTCACACCAGACCACAAGGGCTGATGAGAATCCCAAGATAAGTGAAGCGGTCGACACGCTCAACTACTTCACTCCCTATCATTAGTTCAGGTGTCGATGCAACCCAATCCTGAAGTAACATTTTGCACTTCGAGGCAGAGAATCGCATCCCGAACATGCCTGCATTGTTGCTTATGGTGGTCAGAAGACTCTGCATTTTGTCAGCGTCTTCACCAAATAAAACTATGTCGTCGGCATATTCTAAGTCAGCCATTGAGCCGTCCGGTTGAATTTCAACTCCTGTAAATTTGGATGAGGAAAGTGTGATTTCTAAGAGCACGTCTACGATACAGTTAAACAAGGATGGAGAGAGTGGACAGCCCTGACGAACATCACTTGAGGTAATCAATTCTGATGACAGTTCGCCATAAGCTATAACTCGACCAGTTGTGTTCGAGTAGAGAGCCTGTTTAAGGTTAATGTACTTCTTTGGTACTCCTTTCAGTGACAAACACTGCCATAGAAACTCACGATCAACGAAGTCAAATGCCGCCTTAAGGTCAAGAAATACTACGATTGCGGGACGTCTGAATGTATGTCTATGTTCTAGGACCTGACGTAGAGTGAATATCTGGTCTATGCAACCACGTCCAGGTCGGAAACCAGCCTGGTTTTCTCTAGTCTGCACTTCACGAGCTTTGGTTGGGCGCCTTAGTATTATTAAAGCGAATATTTTAGACACTATATTAGTCAAACTGATTCCTCTGTGATTGTCACAGGAGGAGTTTGTCCTTTCTTATAGACTGGCACAATCAGTGATTGGGACCAGTCAGATGGAATTACGTCCAGTTCACAGATTCTACCTAAGACCTCAGTCAATCTCGCTGCTAGTACTGGACTACCATCCTTAAAAATCTCAGGAGTAAACCTGTCAGGGCCTGCTGCTCTCCCTCGCTTCAGATTTCCTATAGCTTTTCAACTTCGCAGAGGGTTGGGGGACTTACATCAATTTGCCATTCTGAACGACTGGGGATCGTGGGTGATTAAAGTGTGGCTGAAGGCCATTTGAACTGATTCCCGAAGTGTTCTGCCCATCGCTTTAATCTCCTTGATTGAGAATGAATGATATGCCCATCTTTATCTGAGATGGTTTCACTGATATTTGTGTTCCCAATACCGGTTTCTTTAATGAGTCTGAATAGCTGTCTACTGTTACCTATTTCCGCTGCCTTTTCTATCTCTCTTGCTTTCGCTACCCACCACTGTTCACGATCATTGCGTAGGCTTCTTATTAGCTTGCGCTGAAGTTGACTCCGCTCTTCTTTATGTTCAGAGCCAGGTGGAAGGAGGTTTCGAGCATCTATCAGTGCGGTAGATGCTGTTGAGATCCATTGTTTCTCCCTAACGTTATGGTTTACCTTACTAGCGGATATCGCTGCTGTTTCCACAGCTTTTCGGATATCATTCCACGCTGCTTCGGGGTGGGCACAACTTACATAGCTGCCTAACTGTTTTTCCAGTTGTTCCTGAAATATATTCTTAGCTTGCCTATCATTAGATGGAACCCTAAGAGGTTTCCCTGCAGTGTCTTTCCTACGTCCAGTATGACGCAGACAGATACGAGCTCGCACTAGAGCATGATCTGAGTCTAAACATGTGCCCCAGAATGATCGACAGTCTTCTATCGAGCCCCTCCATCGATGGCTGGTAGCGATGTGATCTAATTGTCTCCCGATTGGAATCTAAATTCTAGACAATATTTGTGTAACCAGTCCAAATAATGATTTCGAAGAAACGATGTGATGAACAAGTGAAGACGTATATAAAAAGTCGTGAATTTGTCTAGGATCAAAAATTATATGCAAATAAAAAATGAAGTTTGAGTTTGAAATTTTACGTTTGGTGACCTAGAACTCATGACGCACATCAACTATAAGAACCAAATCAATTATATACCATTTAGGCTATTCGAAAATCAGAACGTTCAGTCCGGAGATTATGTTTACAGTAACGTTACATTAGCCGGTACAAAACTTTATGATGAATGCCAATAAGTGTGATAAAGTACAAATAGTCAATCAACCCAATTCTCACTTAACAAATATGTGTTCATAATTATAAACGTAGTCAACTGAAAAATCTAAATTTTTATTTGCAAGCGAACAGTATCACCGTGATAAAGCAATCAAGCACATGTATTGAAGTAAAGGTTGGCAGGTTAGGTTATCAATAGCTTCTTATTTTTATAGTTGCCTGCTGATTAAGAAATGTATCAAAATCAGCTTCCAGCTTAGTACCCGAATTCAAACTATTTTTCTCATTCCCACTTTGGTGTGTAGTTTATAATATTTTGAGATGATGGAGAAGATAAATATTTATTCGTGTTATTTCGTTTAGAAAATGTTACCAAATGGATACTTATCGTTCATGAATCTGAATGAATGTTTTTTTAGGAATTAATAGTATTTGGTGGTGCAACAAATACAGGTCCTTTGAGTCAACTACTCCGTCTACAAATTCATTGTCTATCAACGCCTGAAAATCCGTCAATTAATGAAGAGGAGAGAATCACTGCAAGTTTAACTCAAGATCGCATTCATACTGATATTCAACAGTTCATCTATCATCCTCGCACACAAAACTCTTCTGTTTCACTAACTGAATATAATCAACTCATAGTATTCTCTGGTGGGAATGTTGGTAGTCAGCCAGTGTCAGATGATAAAGTAACTACCCATTGATTAAATCTGTTTACTTGATTTTCTATAACCATAGTTAATACATGCGATATAGAGTAAAGTAGATTGCTGGAAGAAAGATCTTTGTTTTTATTACCGTTTTATTGAGAGGTAGGATTTGAGTATTGCTCTTAAGTTGATGGTTCCAGATTTTAAACTGGTAGCTAAACATTATTTTATAGATTTTACGACTTATTGAAATTATATACAGTATGATATTCTTTATAATGTTTGCCTTGGAACTAACTCTCCGAATAAATAAATATGTGTAGCCATAGATATATTACTGTTTGTTACTAGTTTATCAAACATCAGTATGTAACTGGTTTACAAACGATGTGCAAAAGGCTTAAATAGTCGTACTACATGAATATTGAACAGTAAGCAAACAAAATATTTTCATAGGGAATAGACTGAATTTATTCAACCCATTGTATTGAGAAAATTGCAATACGTTTTAGTTAAATAGTATAATACTTAATTTTAGGTAGTAATTTAGCAAAAAAGGCTAATTCTATGTTCAGTCATATGGAGTTTGAATGAACATATCCAGTTATAATTTGCTCCATAGGAGCAGTCGAACTGATAAATACAAAATGAGGTGGTCATTCTAGGTAATTCATCTTTTAGCCTCGGTGTCACCATCGGGCGCGTAGAAAACACCAAAAGTAGTTCACCGGAGTAATATGATAGAGACCGTAAAATATATAGGGGAACAACTGATTGAAAATAAAATCTAAACTACAGTTCCTATTAATGTCGTGAAAGAGTTATTACTGAAACTCACCATGAATGTGAACTTGAAGTTCAACGGAGAAATATATAGACAAACAGATGGCGTTGCAATGGGTTCACTTCTGGGCCCTATACCAGCTGATATATTTCTAGCCAAACTAGAGAACGGTCCACTAAAAAAGATTATTCAAGAAAAATTCAAATTTTACTGTAGATATATGGATGACACATTCATCCTGTGTAAAGATAATACATTACAGCAAGACGTTCTCAGGCAGTTTAACGAAGTGCATCCGGCCATTCAGTTTACATCGGAAGAAGAGAGTAATGGTCTTTTTGGACGTTCTCTTAACTAAGAGAGCGGATGGATCATTAAAAAGAAACGTAAACAGAAAAAGTACTTGGACTGGGCAGTACACGCATTTTATTAGCTTTGTACCTCTACAGTACAAACGAAGTTTTATCAAGACCCTTAGTTACCGAATACGCACTATATGTTCTGCGGATATAGTTGAATATGAGCTAAACACCTTGCATAATACTCTTAGGGAAAACGGTTACCCTAAAAAGTTTATAATTAAATATATGATCACGAAAGTGAAAATAGGCGAAATTCAAACGGTCAAGAAGAAATCCCTGTTCATGAGCCTACAATTCAGGGGGGAAGCGGCTAGTGAAATACTAACTCAGAGATTACGCAGAACAATCCTAAAATCTTTCAACGCCGGTGAACTACGTTTAATGTTTTCTACGCACCCAATGGTGACATAGAAGCTAAAAGATGAATTACCTAGAATGCCCAATTGGTACAAACTGGTCATAATGTCAGTTTAAGCCGGTGCTTTTCAATTATTTATAGGGTCAGTAATTTTTCACCAAAGCTTGTCGGGCTTAAAGTCCTTCAAACGGCTGAGACAGTAGCCATCCGGATAAAAAAACCGGAGCTATGTCTACAAAAGAAATATCTTCATCCCCTCCCTCTCCCCTGGCCAACCACAAGGCCAATTAACCAATAGTATTCTTAGCTATTGGATGACCTAATTTGACTATTGTACTTACGACCTTTCGTAGTCAAATGTAATTGTCTCTCTTATCTTTATTCACAAATCTTTGTATTATTATTATTATTATCAGAAGGGGTGTTGTGGAGATTTCAGTATTTTTCATAATTGAAATCATGAGTTAATTGAAGCTAGACCACCATGGAAAACCTGGAAACACTGGACGGCCGTTTCGTCCTATTATGGGACTCCTCAGCAGTGCGCATCCACGAACCCGCTCTCGCGAGATTCGAACCCAGGACCTACCAGTCTTGCGCCAGAACATTTAACTGATAGACCACTGGGCCGTCCAGTGCTTCCAGGTTTTCCATGGTGGTCTAGCTTCAATTGACTCATGATTCCAACTATGAAAAATTATTATTATTATTGGTTAAATATCAAAATTAATCTCCCCTGTACATGGTTCATGCACTTCGCATTCATCCCTCTTTATTACGTCTTACTAATTTCTCACACAATTTAGTCTTCCCTTAAACATTTGATCGAGTTGTAATTGTACTATCATATCTCTCTCACCCTATCTGACCCATATTTATTCTGATCACAGATCTTAAATTTTCACTTAACTTATATACAGATTCGAGTTAATATTCTATATGAGTCGTATCAATACTAACAATTTCATTCTATTTGGTTTGACAATCCTAAATTTACATGCTTTAAACTATGTACTTTCCTTTCAACCTCGGAATTTTTTCGGATTATTAATTTGGATATATAATTGTAGAACCTGAAGAGAACTTATCGAAAAGAATATTCTTCGTTCAAATATTAGTCTTTTAATATGATGGGGATCCTTAAACGATATCCAGTTATGCTAATAATATCGTGAATATTTTTCCTTCCCCACAATTGTATTTCCGTATAGTGATAACTATTCACTAGACCAATCTCAGCATCTGACGTATGAATCATATATTTCAAATGTACTTGATTTATATACAAGCCAAACAGACTACATCAAGCCACAAAATAGGAAATAACATTTGTACAAGATCAAGCCAAAAAGTGGCTGTGATTGTGGGAGATAGTAATTAATAAACTGGGCATAACTTAAGAATGGTAAATCGTATAATAACAGTCCATAGGTCAAAATAAAGTCTATGATAAGAAGAATATGAATATACATTGTTAAGTTGATCAACAATCATGTATGTATAGTATTAGACAATAGATAGATCCTAACAGTTACTATTCATTATTCTCATCGGGATATAACAGTTATATTCGTTTTCTTAACTAGTCTTCAAATCTTAGCAATTATTTCAAATGACTCCTACTTCATAATATGTTGTTTGTATGAATGTGAAAATAGGTGAACTTATACAATACAGTTTTTAAATAACATTTAAAAAAAGATTATCTTTTCACCAATACATTTTCATATTAATATAACTATGAATCAATTTTAAAGATCATGTAAACATATTTCTAAAGATTATTGTTTATTTTGTGTACTTTTGATTGTTTATCATTTGTTTAAATAAGTAGTATTAGATCTATCAGTCTAATTTTTTTTAAAGATATTTTTGTTCATAAGTTTATTTTAGAATATCATAGAACCTAAATAATTTCATGTATTCTATATTAGGATATATATAGAAAGCACAATTTACATCACTCCATAGTTAAGATTATCAAATAACTACACTGAAAAGTCATTTCAACGAAGAAAATGTTTTTGCCAGTATTATTTATTCAAGTTGTGCAATCTTGTGTTATAATTAATTTGCAATTCAAATGGTCTGCTGAAAAATAGGAGGATGATTACATCATATCACTTATCAAAAAGAGTCGCTTAACGATAGAGAATTTGACGAAAGATAGTAAGGTGAAATCAAATGTGTGAAAGATAATTATCCACTTGATGAGTATGGGAAACGTGAAGAATAAATTAAAAAACGTAAAGATGGCAATAATAAATTATTAAGATTAAAGAGTTTAGAAACAGTAGAAGGATGTAATAAAATCAAATTTCCGTATGTGAAAAGTGAGTGTTAGGGTATAGAATAATGATGGTTTGCATGTGTCTGCTTTTACACACAGAGTTCAAGTTTGAAAAGGGGGATTGCTAACGCTTCTACATTGCACAAATTATTGATTTGTACTTTTCTCAAACCAAATTGGCCATATAAATGATTTTAAAGGATATATCCAGTGGCGTTGTGCGACCAGAGTTCACATGATATTCCAGTATTTAAATATTGATAGTTCTACATTCACTTTCGAGAACCAGCAAGGATAATGTTCAGAGATGTGTTTGTAAAGCACTCGCATTGTATAGCCAATTTAACGTGTTTCATAACACCAAGATGAATGTACATATTATATTTAGTTAAAATTTTGAAATCCCAGTTTTATTCTCTACATATATGTGTATATTAATTTATTGTAAATTACTTATTATTTTTCTTTAGGTTTATATGTATGATAGTGAAATAAATTCATGGAATATTATACCAGTGGAAGGTTTACCACCATGTTCACGATTAGGTCATTTAATGCTATATGAATTTCCTTATCAACTAACCAATTCAAATTATGAACGTATCCCAAAAGGTAAATTGTATATACATGGTGGAATGGTCAATGAAAAACTACTTGATGATATTTATGTAATACAATTTACTGATCAAGTAAGAGAACTTTATTAGAATATTAAAGAAGAAAAATACTTTCTGTATATGTTAATTGTTTAACAAAACATAGACAGTATTACATTTTCGTAGTTTCGGTAATATTATATCTAATTACTAGTTATAATACACTTAGCTATAAGCTTTTAGCCGTTTTCATTTATTATATAATAATAGCTCAATGGTTATGATTATGTTGTTGTACTGGCTTTCATATTATCAAAGTGATGTTTAATAAAGATGATATGATAATTCATATATATAAAGAAATGTGAATTCCTTGTCTTTAATTTGTTAAAGGAATGTTTAGACTGACAAAATGTGACAAGCAGTGACCAGTGGAGTTCAACCAAGTTTGTTGTAGAGATATCAACTCACTGAGGACAATTGGTGAACGGTTGCTCAAAATCGTGGATTGTTTAGAGTTAGACATCAACACCGTTGGATGCCGGCTCAGTGGTCTGTCGGTCAAGTGCTCTGGCGCGAGACTGGCAGGTCCTGGGTTCGAGTCTCGCGAGTGTGGGATCGTGGATGCTCACTGCTGAGGAGTCCCATAATAGGACGAAACGGCCGTCCAGTGCTTCCAGGTTTTCCATGGTGGTCTAGCTTCAATTGACTCATGATTTCAACTATGAAAATGTTAATTGAAATAGAGTTCCAGGTTACTGGTTTCCAGTTGCTGATGTAGATTATTCTAAGTTCTTCCTAATCCAAAAACTTTCAAAGGAATTTTCTTCACCACTCTTGTTTTTTTTCTTTTGGAATAGCGGCCATAAATATTTCGGAAATGAGCTTAGACGATGACTATTGAAACCCAAGATTTTGGCTAGTGCATATTACATATTAATAATAACATACTGACAAGCTCACATTTTTGGCTATTTCAAGTTGAAATTTCAGGTTATCATTAGGCTGGACGCTAATGGTGTAAAATATTTCTGAAGACTCTAACCTAAGGTGTAGCTCAGTTCAGCTGTTTATTATTTATTAGGTTTCATTCTTTCTAAACTCTGTGATATAACAGATAAAGCTTAGACTCTTAATTTTTGTACGAAAACACGTATGGGGATTACTTAGCTTTCAAAAATGAGCATCCAGCATTTGCCCACAACGTGTCATCTATCGTTTGAAATTTTACGCATTCATAATTCGTTCTTCAAATAACAAAGTTCTCTCTCAGTTTCTCAAAAATGTAATCAGTTGTTTTAATATTGTTACCTGAAATTATTTCACTGATACCCAAATATAAATAAGCATTTATTTTCATTATTTCAGGCTGATAATAATTTGCACTTTAAAGGTATATGGAGTAAACTATATCCGACTGATAACTTATCACCACTTACTATTAGTCATGATAATGCAGAAAATGAGTGTGAATATTTGGACTCAGAAGGTATTGAATCTACAAAGACTCCATCTCCAGGTCCACGTGCTGCTCATGGTGGAACAATTTTAACAAATAAAATTTATGGACAGGATACCAGTAAAATATTAATATTTGGTGGATTGTCATTAAATGGGGCGTTGAATGATATGTTTTGTTTTGATACAAGTTAGTGAAAACCTTTTCAATGTATATAGAACTGATTTTAATAGTCGACAACGTTATTGACCATAATAATATTTAGAACTCAGTCCCATAAACCACGTATATGATAAGCTTATTGAAAATTCAAATAAAATTCCAATGAATTTTTGGGATAGGTTTCTTTTGTTCTAAATAATGCATCCAAAAGGAATGAATTAGTCACATTTCGTGAGTCTTATCATCTGTCACGGGTTTCTGGCACGCAAGCTTTCAGCACGGATTTTAAAAGCTGGCGACGTTGCCCCACTTACGGCACAGGTGAAAAATCTATCAAGGAGAGAGTAAACTTTGCAGAAGTCCCATTTGTATTTTTGTACGGCTATAAAATAATAGTAGAAGATATGTGTAGGTGACAGCTTTTGATTACAACTGTCTTAAGCCAAATATCCGTTATATGTGGTTTTAAACTTTAAGTGACTTCGTCCAAAATTGGTGGCACTGATGCAGATACACTCGTTCTTTATCTCCCTTCAAGTATTCAGCTTAGTTTTCTACCATACGTGTCGTCCTTTGATCTCAGATTTATCATATTTAGCTCTTGACTGCGTTCGATCTCATCTCATTATACTAATGTAAGATCTATCAAATCACACCGACGCATATTTGCATCAGATCCTACTTTGATTATGAGTGTCTTACTGCACCGAGTGATATCTTTCTAACTGTACAATGTCCTGGTTTTGAGTGTTTAGTTCTATAGGCAAGTTATCGCCTTGACTAAATCATTTATATCCACATTTTATCAGATTACACTAGTTGTCCTCATTTACATCGAAATAATTTCCTTTTTTGCTTAACGTCCGACGCCTACTTTTTTGTTTTCCACTTTCTTTTCAATTAGGTACCAAACAATGGACCGAAATTAAATATGAGACTTCTGTATTACCGAGTCCACGTCTAGACTTTGCTTATTGTACATTCTCATTAATCGTTAAGAAGGATACTAAAGAAAATTCAATGAAAATTATATTCAAATCACCAAAAGGTATTGATATTTTCTAAGACATATATATATATATATATATATATATATATATATATATATATCTGTGTATATTTCTCGACAGTAGTAGAATGAATTTCAGTCTACAAGTCTGATCAGGTTAATACAGTTATATGAGTAGTAAGCAGTTACCAATATCTACTTATACAATCTCAATCTCAATAAAACTTGTGGTGATCAAGTTTCTCACTAAGCTACTTACTTGACAAGTACATATTTGTGTGCTTGACTGCTAGCCATGCTGATGTGGGGTAGAGCAAGTGATACTGTCCGTCCTTAGTGTCCCTATATCTGACTCCAGTAATATCCTATGATTATCGTTACTGAGTGGTTGTTTTCCAAATATGCATGTTGCCTAACCTTGTATATGATCATCGACTTAACTCGCGTTAGTGAATAACGGAATTAAATAAGTCAAATATGAGAATGAATTTCAAATACGTATATTTTGTACACTCATCGATCTGGGCAGACATTCAGAGGGACGAAGAGAAATGACGCGCGGTGGAGTAGGCGTGTGAGCCGACTCCATTTAATCAAGCGTTAATCAATTTTATAGCCAGATAAAAATAAGTTGCAGACATGTGATGAATAGGATAAGAAGTGTATACACATATACGCTCGTATAAAGACAGTCAAGGTTGATAAGTGAATAATTAACAATATCAAAAAGTGACCTAAGAAGAATGGATCAATTGGCCTGTCCAGAAGCTAGAATAAGGTATACGGGCTTAATATAGCATCCGATACTACACATCTACTCAAACAGGAGTACGAAACTCATCTCTGATGGTTGTAAGTTGAATGTCTAAATCATCATGTTTAACTGAACTTTAACTGGGTGAAATTTTTAAATTTCGAAGTTGTTAGTATTTCGTAATTAAAAATAGTTTTGATGGTTGTTTATTTTATACTATAATTATTGTTTCTCAATTTGACTTATCTAGTAGTAGAAATTGGATCACTGTGAATAGGTTCCTGTATTTTTAAAATGTTTTACTTAAATGGATCACCTGAAAGTACTCAGTTTCTCATTGTTCAGTCCCTTGTGTTAATCAAATTCTGTTGGTCAAGTGACTCATCATCGTGGTGTACACTGTTCCGGTAAACATTTAGCAGAAAGCTCTAAATGTAGGCCTTTTGTTAGTTGGTGTTAAGTCGGCTTACAGTTAACTCTATCAGAGCCTCCAGAGGCTCATAAAGAGACCCAACCAATCAGCGATTAATTAGAAGCTATGCTACTAAAATAACGAGACCCTGATTGGCTGTTTAACACACTGCTACTATGGAAACTCAAGGTCTCTTAATTACTATAAAACCCCTGTATTTTCTGTAGGTAAATGAATCCTGTAGTAAAGCGCTTCCCTTATACTTTGTGCCTTTTCCCTGGTCTTCAAGTTGCTGTATAGTTCTAGCTCGGGGATACGGAACTAGCTTAGGGAAGCAAATATAGCGTTCACAATCGGCAGTCGTAACAGTTGGCAATCATAGGCAAGCACGTCTAAAATACTAAATAAACTGAAAGTCCCCTTGAAATTCAAAACTGAGTCAGATATAGTGTTTTATTCTGAATTTAGACCAGAACATGCTTGTTATAAAAAAACAGCATTACGAACAAATTACTAACAAATGCGCTAATCTTATTTGTTATAAAATGACGAAGTTCCTTAAAAATGCGTTTAAATAGCGTCAAATATTTTGTGTTCTTGTCAAGTCATATCTAAAGCCCTGAAAATATTCGGGGGTATAAGTAGAACAGAATCTAATGAGTTTGAACCCTACTTCAGCTGCCAACATCTAACAGAATATGTAACCCTATTAACTCTTACATACAAGTCACTTAGTGCATAGTATAGTAAATGGACGTAAATATGTTGTGATTTCTATTGTTGTTTTTGAATGTAAATACACATAAACATGTCTACTGATGATTATTGACTAGTTTAACAGCTAAGTTAACTTTCAACCCCAGAACTATCTTTATCAACCCAACATTTCCTACTTTTTAATCTCGATGCAACAATCGTGCTTCTAATATATACAGTTAGTTAACTTAATTCTACTACAAACGTTCATATTTGAAGTAAAAAAGGGATACAATAGACTAGTATCGCTTGTCACCTATCTATTAAACCATGTCCAAGCTGGGAGATCTTCAACATACCATATAAATCAACTTCACATTTGACCAATTTTGTTTCATGAATTTTTTTTCCTGATAGCCTCATATCATACAGAAATCTGATTTTCTAAATTGTTATATTTATTACTGTTATTTTCTTCAGATAATCAATATCACGATGATATTGTTAATACTGATGAGTATGAAGATGAAGATCAATACTGTCAAGAGTATTTATTTATTCACGGCGGTATGGATACTCATGGTGCTATGTTTGATGATTCTTATCTTATTCTACTAAGTGAATATCAACTTTCTAATCCACTAAATGCTCAAACAATTATCCCTCAAAGTTATTCACATGGAAAATGTTAATATATATTTGCAGCAAATAAAATATTAATTTGCAATACATTATAATCCCCTTTAAATGCATGAAATTCTGAACGTTTATATGTATTTCTACACAACTTCGGAATAATTAAAATATCATAAATTTTTCGTTTTATAGCTTTTTTTAAAGTTTCAGACAGTTGAGTGTTTTTGTTGAGTAAGTAAGTATTTACGACAGTCATCTAACTGAATGTTCTGTTCTAAATATGGAACTCATTTTTACCATTTATCTTTTTATATAAATAAAATTATTGATTACTTTCTTGTCTGTTGTTCTTCCATTATTCGCAGTTCCTAATTTTATGTTTTATAAGATCGTATATAGGGTTTATTAGTACATGGATTTCTTATTAAATTAGAAATATGCGCCACCATTAGCAATAGAAAAAAGAAACAAACACTAGCTGCTATCTTTGCTTGGGACGGAATATTTGCTTATTGCCACCATCAATAAATAGGTAATTAATTACAGTGTCTTCGAGGTAAATGTTTTAGAAATGTCATAAAAATGATCAGGAGTAAGTGCAGATGTGTGAAATTACTTTCTTCTCGATTAAAATAATGGGAAAGCAGGGTACAAACTTAGAAGGTAGTCGAATAAATTTACTATGTTACAACCGAATTTGTACCATTTAACCATAATATCTAACATCTACTCTCAGAAGCTTACTTGAAACTGAAATGCTTAAACCAATAGTGAGTGATTGAATGAATATTATTGCATGAATTGATTGCTATTAAATGGTTACATGACAAAAAAAATGCCACAAAGTGATTCAGCCTGACTCGGCAACAAATAAACTGTCAGTCAAACTATACTACTTATTATTAGTAAGTAGTATACTTTAAAACGGTACATTTTACGCAAAGTTAAATTGTTTCGTAAATAAAAAGGAAACACAAGTCGTGTGGCTATTGATTTTCAGCCGCCTGAAACTTGAAGAGGCTACGAATTCACCGCGGACGAGACGAAAATAGGTATTTTTGTAATTAAATAAAACAGGTTTCATCAGAAATAATGTTTGATCTAATTATAAGATTCGAATATTTATTGTGATTGAAAAATCTGAATAATATCGTTATCATAGATGTATGATCATCTCGATCAGAGTGAACTTGTTGCACAAAATGACAATAGACTAGGAAGAAAAATAAAGTATTCCAATCAGTTATTGTCACTCCTATAAATGGAAATATACACCTGTTTGCATTCTGTTGTATATTATAACGCGGAAATAGAAATAGAAGCTAATTAAAACAAGTCAGTTGAAATAAAATATGTTCTTGCAAACTTTTTTCGTTAGTGAAATTCCAGTGTTTTATTCAACGAATAACGAAGCCCTCTGAATTGAGACGAAACGAAGAAATTAAACACTAAGCTAATTATTTTAAGAACTGTGATTCTTGGAGTTCAGCCATATTTTTTCAGTGAGATAAAAAATATTGGGTGGTCGTTATTTACAAAGTAACTGATATTGAAACCAAATACATTTATAATCTGACTCAGTTATTCAGAGTTGTACTGTCACTGAAACTTCAGGGTCACGGTTTTAATCTCATATACGTGGGCGTTTCTGAGGAGCTTCATATAATTTTAAATCGTGATGAAGATTATTCTCAAATTTTATAAAAATATGTTAAATTATAATACTTATGGACATTTATTTATTCATAAAACTATAATGAAAAATATTTAAATAGCATAGAAAGCAGACTTTGTGCCAATTACGTTTATGGTCAGCTAATTAATAGTTCATTTATATAGATCACAATTCAATCATTGAGAAATCTTTTAATGAACTCAATAATTTGGCAAAAGCAAAAGAATTCATATACGAGTTTTGTACATAATTGAGTTTTCATTGACTATAAATGAGTTTGATGCCATTTCGATGTTTAAGAATCATTCTGTTTTTACCTGTTTGTATACAATAGGTAAAAACTACTATAACTTCGAATTAACGATTGTTATTTCTATGCAGTTAAATGTTTACCTGGCTTCGTTAAAACTAACAGTGTTTATGATCTTATGGGTCTTCACTTTTTATTTGGTTTCTGTAGTCTGATAACAGCTGTAGATTGTTAATATTCTGTTGTCCGAATGACTGGAGGTTAAATAACTAGAAATTCCTGTAGTTACTATGATTCATATCCATTACTGTCATCATTTTATGCACTCGATTTCATACTACTCACAAGTAGTATACACCTGATAATACAAAACGTTTCTCTTTGTACTAGTGGAGGGAAATTAATGGGCAATAGTAGAACTGACATTTGATAAATTTTTCAGATAAAGGCTTGTTTTCTAGGTAAGAACTAACATTCACTACTAGATTTTAAAAATAAGTAACTGAAAACGTCATTATTTGAGATGAAGCAATATTGTATTAGTCATATGCTACATCTTGATATATTTCTTCGAAAGTGATTCATGTTCGAATATTATTTTGTGATTCAGCGACACCGTGACTCAGTATATACATATACATCTGTAATTGAAACGCCCTCTTAAACACTGACAAGCAAAATAAATCTATTGACTATTTGCAGTATTAAAATATGTATAAACAGAAAATTAAGATAGTCAACAATGTTTATGGATGCAGGATCATTAATATAGAGCCTTACAATAGTAATATTAAGAAACATAGTGTAGCCTATTTTACGTACTTTTTTAAATACGCCATTGTATCCGTTGGGCAGAGCTAACAAAAGCTTAATTTAAAATTTGGAAGTGGATGAAAGTTTCAATTTCAGGCTGGGGAGCTATTAGAATAACTAAACACAAGACATTTGTCCTCTGCCTCTGTAATGTATACCCGCTATGCCTTGTATACGGGAGTGTTTAAATGTGGCCGATCCCATACCACATAGGTCTGTTGATATACAGTGCTGAAGAGTCTGAAACTAGAATGAAATAAACATCCATCGTTTAATAAAATTAAGTACAATTATGAGCTTAGTAGTGATCAAATTTAAAAGTTAATTCTCAAGACTGTAGTTAGAATATTTAACCAGTAGAGCTTGACTATGTCAAGCGTGAAACAAATATCACTGATGGAATTGGGTGATGGCCACAAATTTATGCAAATTGACTGGAGTTGGAAATGTAAATAATTGAATGCCAACTCAGTGATATGAAGATCAAACTCCCATTAAGAAGCTTGAAGATTTTAGTTTAAAACCCTAGAGTGTTATGAATGGCAAATGCCGAGTAATCCGATGCTAAGCAACATAACTGGGAATATTGATAGTTGGATTGTGCTTTAATGGAGATACACTAGTGAGGATGATTTCTTTTGGCATCTTTGGTACTAACCATTTACTGTTCTCTATCAAGAACAAAAAAGTTGATCACTATTCTATTACTTAAAATAGATCTCTCTATAGTGTGGTTGTTTGTGGAGCATTATTTTAAAAACAAACCGTATTTTTCATTAACTGACCGTATTTAAAATGTAACTGATAAAAAAATTACATTTGACCGTATGATTCAAACTTTACCAGAGGAAAATCCTCCACACAATACTATCTTATGAACTATAGATATATTTTATTTCCAACGATGATATATTTATCAATCATAAAGCGATAATTTTCTCTTTGTTTAAACCTTAAATAATAACTGTTGCGTAAATATTATACCTGCATGTTCAGGGGCATATGTATTTTTGGGTTAGCATAGTTTTCGAAAACGTTATTGTTGTATCTCGAAGAGAATTATGAATGGTAACTTTTGAGAATCATTTATGGACCAATATTATGCATATATTTTTACCGTATAATTGCTAAATAACTAAACTATTCATATTCATGTTCCCTTTATCATGAGCTTAATTTTGAACTATAAACTATTGTTACACTGTTTGCCATGATTCATACCGCAGAGGCTGTTCTGGACTTAACTGGCTGGGCTAGGCAGAAGCAGGACCGACACGTACTCTAGACTGCTCGTACAGTTTCCGTGTGTCAATGTTGCAATTGATAATTCACTGCTCTGTGATTGGCGGTCTTATCATGTCATACGTTAACAAGTCATTTACTTGGCAACAAGTTATAACAGTTATTCAAGTAACGAAAGATTGTTGTCTTTGTCTTTCTAAAATAAACAAGCCACAAGTAATGAAGCCTTGAACTAGTTAACGGAATACTATAAAATTGTCGGATCAATGAGATCAGTTTTGTAACACATTCGAGTTTGTATTATTCATAAGGTAGAAAAAATAAACGAATTCGTTAATGACGTTAAATATTTGGTTGATTCCTTACAAAATTTATGTATCTATGTATATGTGTGCGTATGTATGGCTGGTCCAATGGACAGTTTTATTATTTGTTCACTTAATTATTTTCATCTCTGTATTAAGGTATTTGTATGTATGTGAAGCATTTCATTATCATTTCAATAAATCATCGGATTGATAAAAAGTCTATGACGTAACAACAATTTATTATATTATTTAAATAAACCGGTCTGTGGCTTGTGACTAGTCTAGTTTTCAATTTCTACGTACTTGAACAAACCTCTCGTTAAGGCAGAGAAAATGTATTGATCAAGTTAATTGATAGATTCCAATATTTGTCCAAGTCTATATCTAAGTTTTGCCTTGTTTTACTGTAAAATATTTTACGTAACGGTTCATGAGATTGGTTATAATAAAATAATTATGGTTTATATTGACTGATCAATATCTTGTTATTTATTACTTATTGATAGTTGATCATTCACAAATCTAAGTATCTAAGAGCCCTCCAGGCTCATATCTCTGAATTGTTAAAATTGCACGGTTCCCACTATGACATCCCTTCAGAGTGTCAAGTACATTTAGTGTGCCTTCTATTCATGAAGAGCCATACGAGTATGAGTGGAATCCATATGACATCTGTCGCACTGCGTGTTGAAGGCCTATTAGCCGAGCTAAGGAGGATTGTTTCTGGAAGGAGACACGATAAGGTCATTATCCTGCAATCACAACTCTCCACTTGCAAAAGCATATTTCCTACGGAATATGCTGAAATCCGTGTTTTAATTTTAAATAACAAATTGTTTAGCTACCTTGATAGAGTCATATTTATAAATCTTGTCTTTTGTATATGAATTCAAGGAGGTATTCATATGTGCTAAACTAATTTGAAATTTTATGTAAACTGTACTGCTGAGTAGAAACTAATATTATAATATATTCTTCAATGAATTATATCACCAGCATAGGGTTGCAGAGATTGTTAAGTTTTGACTGAGAACATTAATCGATCAATGTTAGA